TAGCCTGAATCCAACTGTGTTGATGCTGTCCTCCTTACAATGAACCTAGAAATCATATTAAAAATGATTCCAAAATTACGATGCAAAATTCAGTCTTTTTTTTTTGCTATAGCTTGTGAGTTAAAAGTTTCTTTTCTACAAAATCCCATTCCTTCTAGTGTTCCCTGATGGTTTCTGGAAGAAGCAGCAGCTATTTCTTTATGCATACTTTTCACTTCAAAGGAAATTTAATCTATTTTAAGGAAAAATAGATGGCTGGTTAATACATGTTTGGGCATGAGCACAAAGCAGGCATGCTCATTTATATTCTAGCTGATCAAGTGAAGAAGTCTGATTAATGTAAATTTTGGATCAAGGTGAGGGTCATCATTGTAACCTGCAATGAAATAAACTATTGAATGCTTTTTCCCAGAAGGGGATATTTCTGTTATGTAAGTGGCCCAAAGGCAGTGGGACAAATCTTCCTCCTCTTGCCATCCTCGTTTTCGTATCAGCTGCTTAACAGCAGCACAAAATACTAGATTAGGACTGAACATACCAAATAACAGAATTCTGTGCTCAGATCACATCCCTCACACCACATGTGAACTGCATGTTGTTAATCATGCCTTTCCATATGTTTGTTCCTCCTTCCTCTCGCACTGTTTTGATTCCCTCCCTCTTCCTTCAGATCTTTCTTCAAAGCCTCCTTGCCCTCTCGATGAGCTCCTGTCCTGCCTGCTCTCTCTTTGATGTATTACTTCCGCTGCGGTGTCAGATTTGGCTGGAGCTGCCCGGGGTCAGGACGTGGGAATGAGCGTGTGCTTGGCACCCTTGGGTGCTGTGGAAACCGTTCTAATGGGATCCGGCTGGGATTGCCTGGGCCAGGCTGGCAGTGGGAAGAGGTGTGGCAACTGCTCTGGCTTAGGCCAGGATTGTTTTCCAGTGGGCTTCCTAGCTATGGAAACCTACTCTGTGTTAGCATCTGACTTGCGCAGCGAAGAGCGTGCCCCTCTGTATCGCTCTGTTTTCAACCCCCTGGTAAGATTTCTTTGCCTGCTACTGGTGATGTTGCAGGACGGATCAAAACAGGGTAGAGAGAAGATTAGGCAGCGTCTGCATCAAGTAACCTATAACGCAATTAAAGTCGATGTCGTGGGCCTTTTTCCTGAAGATGTGCACAGCACCTCATATAGCAGTGTAACCGTGAACTTCGGCTGAGGGTGTCTTTGTTGCCTTTATCACAGTTAACATCTGGTCTTCTAGCTCTACCAACCCAACTGTAAGAATGTCATCTCTCACCAATGTGGTCTCTAAGGCTGCTAGATTTTCATTTCCATTTTGCTGTGGGGAGCATCTGGAAAATCTGTTGGCTTCTTCATGTCTTTGTTCCATTTCACTGAGCCATGTGAGAAAGGGGAAACCTGGTATATAAGAAGATAGTAAATGGCTGGGTTAGGAGAATCTGAGACCCGTTCTATTTTTTGTGAGCAGGCAGAAATTTTCTGTTGCTTATTTCAATGTTAATGAATTAAAAGCCTGCCATTGCATCCTAGGCTTCAGAGACCCCGACAGGAAAGATCTGCTGTGGGAAAAGTTAAAGTAGCATCCACGTTGCCTGCCTGTCAGAGGAATGCTTTCTCCTGAAAGCTGGCAGCAAGGGGAACAGCAGGAACACGTGCCAATTCAGCCTTCCCTTTGTGCGAGCGTCTGCCACAGATCAAACTGCCCCGTTCTTGGCAAGCGTGCACGTGAGTGACAGCAGCATGAAGATCTTTCTCATTTGCTCAGGGAAAATCCCACCCTGCTCAAGCACAGAGACGCTAGCCTTTTTAAAACAATGGTAAACTGCTGTTTGGCCTTTCTGTCTCTTAGAAACCTTTGGTCTTAGGGTTGGTTTGTTTGGCTGGTTGGTCTTCCATGCTACATGTGGTACAACAGGAATCAGATGTGAATGTGGTATGTTAGCTGTGAACTGAGGGAGAAGGACTGTGAGCCACTGAAGACATCCCAGCGCAAGAGAAGTAGTAGTTGCAGGGGAAGTAGTTAGCATAGGAGGTGGCTGACCCTACAGGTTTGTGCTATTAGAATGGTTTTCCCTTTAGCAATGGGGTTTTCATTTAATCAGTTGCTGCCAGCTTCCTCTTTGAACTCTTCAGGTTCACCAAAGGGTCTGTTTCTGGAGCACAGTGTCTGGTCCAGTTGGTTTTATATTTTCCTGCCATGCGACGCTGTGCTTAAAAAGAAAAAAAAGACACAAAAGGGAAGATGGAAAAATAGAAATGCAAAGTGTCTCGTGGGAGATGCTTGCCCTTACCATGTCATGTTAGCTTAACTACAGTTCCCACACATCACATGTCAAGCTGTACTTGATTGTTTTCAAATAGATGGCAAAAATCATGAGAGGAGGAAAATGTTCTTTTGTGTGACACGTTCTTCTTTTGATACGTTGGTTTCTGTAGCTGTCAAAGCAAAGGCCGTTTTTCCATCTATTATTACAAATGTGTGTGGGGGTAAATCTCTTCCTTAACTCTCTATTCCTTTGATTGTTTTACTTTAATATAGGTATTACATTAATTATTTTTTCTACATGTAATGAAACAATGTGTTTTCTGTGGTGCATTTTCTGCGTGATCCTCAATAAGCAATGGGGTTGTTGCTCTCTCAGTGGAGATTTAGATTACATCTGGAAATGCAATCTGTTTCAAGTATTTTATGCTTTTCTGCTGGGAGAATGGAATATTTAATTTCATTATTCAGCATAGGATTATTCATTTTGTGCAGTGAAGGGAAATTCATCAGTATTGTCTTCAGCTTCCAGAAAAATGATACTTACCATGACTGTTTCACACACTCTATTTATATTTTATATCTTTTTCACCACTCTGCAATTATTCATCTCTGCAGAAAGGTGAAATACTTGCAATGAGTTACTGTAATTTCTCTGAACTCCTGAAAGCAGTTCAATCACTGAAAGCAATTGCTTTTACTTAAAGGTGTTTCCTGAGACACATTCACCATACAAATAACTGAATCGAGTTTTTTTTTTTGTTATTATTCAGTAATATTTAGTGATGTTTTATAAGAGGAGGTAAATCAATGTTGCTGTGTCTTAACATTCATTGCACTAATATTAATCATGAGGGATTCTTGGAGATGGATGCAAATGTAATACTGTAAGTGGGAATGCAGTTGAAATGCAACGTTAATTCATTCTTCCTTGTTATTAAATGTCACAAGATATTCATTGTTTTACTGATACTTTCTTTTTAAAGCCATTTGGTGTTTGAAAAAAAAAGGAGAGAAAAACGTCAGTGTGATGCTGTGGTCTACGTAAAATTATTGAGATAATTGTCTCTAAATCTTTCATATTGTTATGTTTAATTTCACTGTAGTGCCGCTAAGTCTACATTTTGGGGAAAGATCAAGTATTAAGTGTAAAGTTAGTGAAAGACGGTACCCTGCTCCCACAAAAATCAGTTAAAGGTTTTCCGTTTACTTCAGTGGGAATAAGAACAGGCTTAATATCATGACATATGACTTGCCATCAGTAAAAGAGATTTTCACATTTATCTTATCCCCCGAGATGTTTAAAATTTGAATGTCAGTTGATTCAAATTTTATGGGGAATCCAGGCACTGAGATGATTTGTGTGTAGGGCGCAGAACTGGCACTCAGTGATCAGGGTTTGTTCTGTCATATATTTCCCGTGTGACCTTATGCAAATCATTTATTGCCTCTCTTAGAGCCTCATCAATAAAATAGGGTAATGTTACTTTTCTTTTTGTTTGAAGGGTTAGTTAACAGTTAGATGGCTTATTTACAGTGGATTGATAAAGGCTATATGAGAATACACAGTCTTACTTAAACGTACTGCTTTACATATACGTTCTTCTTTCCTTTTATGTCTCCACAATTATTACTTTCTTACAGCTCTCTTGTGGGACTCTTCCCTTCATTCTTTGCTTTATGAGCAATCTTCCGTGACCTGGCCTTCTCCTCCAAATATGCTTGTCAGGTCTTTCCTGGGTTTTATGCTCACCAAAGCAGGTAATATATATGAGTGGATATATATGTGTGCATAATGTGAGCTATATTTCGTGTGTATAATCTTTGATGATCAAACTGACAGTTCTGTGCTTGGGAAACCAGATCTTTGATATTTTTTTGTTCCAGATGTGTCCAGCTAAGTGATTCAGGTGTGCAGTTCTTAATCGCAGAAACTCATATTGATTTCAGGAGTAAGCATCTTTCTTCCCACTGTACAAAATATGCAAAAAAACCCAAGACTGCCATTTCAAATACTTCTTCCTGAGGTGTTCAAGGCTGAGTATAGCAAAACCAATGCACACTGTTATGTTGTATCCGTAGAAACCCTGATTTTTTTTAAAGGATATTATATTAGTATATGTTCTCACGAAACTTCCTGCATACACACTTCTGTGTGTGTCTACATTTGCCTTTGCAAAAATGAACATTTGTTGTTTTTGGCCTTTAGCTTAAGTTATATGCATTATTTAACTTAAGCTGCATGATCATAAAAGGCAGCAAACCTTTACCAGGGGGAGCAGATCTGAGCTGTACGTTGTTCCCTATCAATCAGTATTATCTGAAATAAAGCAGTAATTTCAATAGTAGTTATGGGGAAATAATGCTGGCTATAATTAACAGAGAAATACAGGAGAGTTAGCTACCTGCTCTTTTTTAGTTTTAATGGAAACTAGAATTCCAAAGCCTTTAAAATATCATTTCTTTGACCTCCTTGTTTGCACAGCATGGGCAGCTGACCTACTAATGGCATCTACTGTAAAACTGTTATTGACTCTTGATGGGTTTGATCTAGATGGTGCAGATACGGAATTAAAAAAAAAAAAAGCCCTACTGCCAAACAAATGAGTCTGTCTTTACATAAAAGTATTAAAGGCATGGACATTTCGATAAGCATGCTATCTTCAAGAAATGGTGAGAGTCATAATTTACCTGAGAACAATTGCGTTTTCCTTAATGAAACTTCTATTCAGACATTGTAGATATAAAGCCAGCCAATATGGAGGACCTGACAGAAGTGATTACAGCCTCTGAGTTTCATCCCCATCATTGCAATCTCTTTGTCTACAGCAGCAGCAAAGGATCGTTGAGACTCTGCGACATGAGAGCATCAGCCCTCTGTGACAAACATTCCAAGCGTAAGTCCCTGCTTACGTTTTGCTCCCAATGTTCTTAACGGCTCATTATTCACGGGCAGTATGTGCATGTGTGCATGCCACCCAGCGTGTTAGCTTCTTAGTTGTGGGCACAGTTGAAAAGAAAACAGCAAAAAAATGGAGGAAAATTTTCTCATCCATAAGAATATGATCAAAACCCTTGAAAAGGGTCACTTCTATGACTGGTGCCTCTTGTGATTCTTATTGCAGTGAAGAACCTACAGCTGTCTAGCTGACAGGTGATTCTCATGCAATATTTTGAGTATGGAGAAATAAGTAGATGATGATATTGTTTTGCTACTGTTCTGAATACTGGAGCAAGTAAATTTTGTCATCTAATCTGCCTTCAAAATTTTGAATTCATTTTCCAGATTCCAAAATGTTGAAGTCCTCCTGAAAATTTCATCCAGTCCCCAAATGTATTTTGTCAGTGATGTATTTGTTCGCTATAGGAAATACTTAATGCGATAACTAATAATGGGCAATTCAAAAAAGATACTGTGCTGTCATAGAAGGTGTTGTCATGTCCTAATATGTTCTCATGTGGCCTTGTGAGACCTATTGAGAGAAGGTGTCACTAATTCATGACAGTATATATTTGAAAGTTTCATAAGAGCAAGGAGGTAAAACGCATTGCTGTCTTTGTTCTCAAAGTAAAGGACGAAGGAAAATGTATGTTTATAATGTCTGGCTATCAAATCTTTATAGTCCAGATAAGACAGAATATGGTTCTTGCCACCAGTAATCTGACAAGCCCGGGCACTTGCCTTGCACGAACAGCCTGTTTATTCCTGGTCTTCTGAGACTGAAAACGCAAGACTAAGGCATTGTGTCGTGTGGTCGTTTCCTATGAGGAGCTGCGAACTTAATGAACCTGGTGGCTGTGCTTGAGCCAGGTGCTTCTAGGACGATTCCATCTCACAGAATCTGGTCCACAGTTTCTTTGGCTATGCTGAATCATTGGGAAGAAACCTAGGAGGTATTCTCTTAGTGCAGAGGGCACATAAGAGATTTTTGTATCAATTAATTGCCACTTGAGCCCTTTGAGGTGCATGGGTCTTGTTACTCAGAAATAAAAAAAATGTGAAGACTTAAGTGAGGCATAAGTCATGCACAGACTTAGGACAGAAGTTTTTTTTTTTGTTTGTTTGTTTTTTTACTGGAGTAGATGTAGTAGAGTCTTTGATTAGACCTTTTGGCTGCAAGGAGAAATGGTCCTACTCAAAACCTCTTACAGTGTGATCTCCAATTATAGAAAATAACCTTTTGGGAAATTTACCTTTGTTAGCTGTATCCTCTTATAGTGGGAATTCAATATCATGGAGTGAAATGGGAGCATAACACCATCTGGGGCATTGTTTTGAGTTATCCTGTCCCACTTAAATTTTTTTTCTCCATAATGCTTTCATTTCTCCCTGCTAATAAGGCCTCCTTGTCCCTGTAACTCGGTACCAAATGCCAATCATAACCTCTTAAAACACCAATACAGTAACCGTGGATAAAAAGAAGGCATTTTATGCCAGAAGAGAGCGCAAGGTCTAATGGTCATTGATTAAACCCTATTTTCCGGATCTATGATTTAGAAAATAGCCATTTAATGTAGCATTGCTGCACTGAACCCAAGTCAAGCACGCTGAGGAGCTGAGTATGTAGAGCACGTGCAATACGAAATTGATAAGGTAACGGTAGACCTTTCAATGTGTTACAAGGAATACTGCTGATTGGACTGGTTTGAGTATAACACTCAGAGATATGCAACACTAATTATGTAAAGCCTGTAGCAACCTAAATGGAGATGCTTTAAAAAACAAACAATCAGGGAAATCAAATATTTGCAGAATCATCTCTCTAGTACCTTCACTGTGAATCTGATTCCTCTTTACACTTGCTTTATACATGGTGTACGTGCATGATCAGTACCCTACTCTCCTAGCTTAACTCGCGTCCACACCCTTCCCCGTAACTGACTCTACCTCTTAGCTAAAACATTTGTTGACTGTGACCACTGTGCAGCCTCACTTTCTGTCACGCAATCCTACTTTCTTCATTCAGTTTAATGTCGCTATGATCTGTATTTCAGATGCTGTTCTGAGACTAATCGATCTAGATGTTTTTAGGGATAAATAAGGTCCAATGAAAAACTTAAAAAAACACCTGGTTGCTGAGCTTTGTGAACTTTGGGGTTTACTCCTTTTTCAGATCCTTTTATTACCCAGATCTCTACAGTTGGCTGAAGTCAGTTGCAGCTTTTGGGGGAAGTCTCCTTCCATTTGTACAAGTCTAGAGAGTGCCATAAATAATTACTGTGCTATCTTGTATAATTAAATTACATACTTAGTATTCATAGCGTAAGTCACTGGCACAGGATGTTAATAAGTTACAGTTCTTGAAGATTTCCGGTTTGCTAAGGTCCATGGCAAAACCTCTCTGTTCAGGATTAGTGGCAGCAAAGCCACAGGGTTTCCCTTATTAAAGTTTCATGGCTCTGACATGGAAGAGGCAAGAGGCTTCCATACCTGTTCAACCTTGGTGCCTATGCTGAAATTTATGAGCAAGCTGCCAATTTGTGGGATGAGTTGTAATGGGGACCTCTGTCTCATAGAAAAATGAGCTTAGGCCACCAAATCCATCCATAAGGCATTGAAAGATATCAGATCAGTACTCAAGTTTTAAATGGTCATGAGATACTGATAAGGTGTGATAAAATGCATTGTTTTTCCAATGGAAACCGGTTCTTTCTAACATCTTCTCTTTAATAGATCATCAAACGCTGGGCAAGCAAGCAGAAATGAAACATGTGACCATTACAAATGGATATACAGGAAAGCCCAGTCTGTAACAGCAGAGCAGATACATACATAATACTGTCCCATGTTATTATCAGACTTTGCAAGTAGTGGGAGAGAATTCCATCGACATATTCTGAAGAGGAGGAGCAAAAAAAAAGAGATACATGTCCCTGTTTATTTGGAATATTAGGGGGATGGGAATAAGAGAGGTGGTGTTCCTAGCAATCCGCAAGGTTATGGGTAAAGATTTAAAATGGATTGGAATGTCAGTCTCAAGCAGGAAGAAACAGGGAGTTAATTTAAATGATTTGGAAGCTTTCATTTAAGGGCATTTAAAAATTACCCTACATGGTGAAACACCCAAAGGTTGTCTTTGTGCAGTTATTCAGGCAACATGCATGGCAATGCAATGTAGAAAGAAGGCAGGATACTGGAAATCTGTGGCAGTAGTGAAAAATGGTAGTAACAGCTGAAAAGGTGTCATTATTAGAGCAGTTAGCTGGCAACATCCAAGAAATAAAAGAGCTCCCTGCCCCCCTACCAATTCCAAAACTGTTTGAAATTCTCATGAACAGGATTCAGATAATGAAGAAGACAAACAAAAAGATACTGTTGCAATCAAATCATTCTAACTAAAAGAATACTTATAGCACTATAAAACACAAGTGTTCAATTAACTGATAGTTGCTAATTTGGTTTGATCTTCTGTTGCTATTATTATGCTCCTTATAAACATGAACGAGGATAATATCTTCCAGACAGTTTATAGACTAAATAGGTACATATGACTGTTTTAACAAATCACCTGAGAAAACAGGCAGTAGAAGAAGACTGAGCCTGGACATGTGAAGTCTGAAGTCTGAGAGAAATGAAAAGCTTTTTTCCGTAGTTCGTCAGAATCATTAAACTCGGAATTATTAAGTGATAAATGGAAACTGCACATTCCTGCAACATGGAAATTTAAGTGACTCAAGAGCATAACCCTCACTGATATTCAATGTGACATCATTAATATCTTAAAGTCATTACATACTTCAGAAAATGTGGCCTCAGAAGATGAATCTACTTAAATGATATATGTTGCTTTAAGGGTTTTTTTTAGTTTTCATTTCTTAATATGCCTTTGTAGACTAAAAAACTATTTCTGATTATCCATTACCCATGTGCAAAGTTTGATTAAAAAACAAAAATAAAAAGAAGATGGAAAAGCTGCAGTTTCAAGTTTATTGTTGCACCAAGAGTGCCATGGTGGTCTTTAAAAGGCAAACCTTGGCGGTACATAATGCAGGTAGTTCACGTTTTCGATTCTCCATTCACGCTTCGCAAGTGTCTAACGTCTGGGTCTCAAACAGGCCATTTCAAGGCCCTTTTTGTCTCCGTGCACTTCCCAATGTGCTAAAAGCACTGGCCAGCTTTAAAATGAGCTGGCAAATCCGAAGCCTGTTGTGGGCTCTTCCCGGAGAGCATTTGACTAAGGAAGCATTTGTAGATAGATGACAGACAATCTTAACATCTACCTTCTCTGGACTCTTCCAAAGTAGGGCCAGAACACATCAGCTGATGCCTTCCCCACTGCCCTAGGATGGGTAACAAACATCTTAAAGGTATAAACTGATCTTCAGAGCAAAGCAGAGTGAATTTTAGGTTTGATTTGTGACCCAAAGATGTTGTGGTGTCACTTTTTCCCTTGAGAGCCCTTTTCTGCATTTTTATTTGAAATTAAGCCATGAAAGAAATGTCAGTCCTTCCATTAGGATAAATGCCATTATCCTATCAGTCTGGCAGTTAACTGAGTTTGGTTATCTACTGTTTTTTGAGATCATCTTTAGTTTTAAACTTAAGAATTCAGGACCGTGGAAGTAGCCAAACCACAAATCAAAGAAAGTCTGCTTGAACATGTTAAATTTTAAAAACAAAATGAATTATATTTGCCAGCCTTTTATGGGAGGTTGCAGTTGCAGAGATGAGACAGCTTTCAGACCTCTAACTGAATATGGATTATCCTTCATTTGAAACAGAGAACAACTAGATGCACAAAAAAGCCTGTGACAAAACATCCCTGGTGGATTTGCTAATTATTATTGACCTTTCCAAATGAATGATGCTTATTATACGACTAGAAAAGAGACAACTTGTTTTTCTTTTATCTAAGCTTTACATTTAAAATATGCTTTTTATTTCTGCATCTGGTCT